CTGATCATCGGGTTTCAAAACTGCCACCGGGTGTACAAAATGGCTCCCCACTGTTTTCTAGGATGGTTTCCTCGCTTTACAGGCAGCGAAAATGGCTGGCCCATGGAGGATCTTCGCTGGACGGTGAGTTTTCAGCCCATTGGAACGCATTGAAGGGTTTTCAATGCGTTTCAATGGGCTTTTTTATTTAGCTTAATGAGGATTTTGTTCTACAGCGATTTCGCTGGAACAGATTATCCTCATTAAGCGAGGCACCACTGTATCTTACTTTCAGTCCAGCTCAAAGACCCAGTTCCTGCTCCAGATCTAAATTGATTTCTAACTTTATAAAGTCAATGAATCAGAAAACCAAAAGCGTTATAACTTATTTTTGTTTTGTTTTTACACTGACGTATACAAAGTTTGAACACAGCTAGACCCTGGACCCAAACAAGGTGAGGTTTAGCATGCGGCTTGACTGTAGCTGAATGGATTTGCAAATTCAGTTCTCTTCGTCCTGGAATCAAAGTAGTTAGTTTTGCTTTGATCTGAACCCCCTACAAAGCAGTCTAATCAGGCTTGATTTGGTTTGGAACTTGTGATTTGTCTGAATTTGGTGTCCGTGCTTATTTCATACACACAGAATCATCCATGCATTTTAAGAACACCAATTAACATGCATAAACCTGATGGACAGACACGGCTATACTGTAATCAACGGCTAAACCCCTGCTGCTTATTGTGCTGAACCAGACTAATTAAGCCTTTTGAATCATTGGGAATTTAGTAATTCAGCTCTTGAGCAAGAGCCATTGATTCAAATGTGCCTACTCAGTGACAATATGCAAAATTAAGTCACAGTTAGAGAAGGCACATTTGAATCAATAGAATTTATGGAGGAATTGACTCTTCAAATCTCTATTGATTCCAATGGGCCTACTCTAGTGCAATTGACTATGCTAAGCCAGTGGTTCCTAATCTTTGGTCCCCAGATGTTCTTGGACCACAACTGCCATAAATTTTGGCTAACACAGCTAGTGATGGAGGCTTCTGGGAGTTTTCATCAAAGAACATCTGGGGAACTCAAGGATGAGAATAACCATGCTAAGCAATAGGATTTCGCCCAATGAAACTACGTATGCTATGAAACTTGCGTAAAGACATGCAGACATTATCAAGGAATGTATTTGGAAAACGCATACAATTTTTCATGTGGACCCAAAAAATATTGCAACCCAGTACAATGCAAGGGAATACATAAATAGTAGAGACAAATACAGAGAAATTGAGAGTAAAGCCGCAATCCTATTGTTCATGTATGTTTGGTAAGGGAAAGTTTGTAAACCACAGTGGCAAACTGCTGGATCCTGCATGCCAGATCACGTAGTGGTGCAAGGAGCACAACCAGCACCTCATAATGGAGTAACAAATTGCCATCATGACTTACAGCTAGACAGGGGGGCTGGACTCGGTGCTCTATGGCAGTGGTCCCCCCACCTTGGGCCTCCACAAGTTCTTGGACTTCAACTCCCAGAAATCCTGGGCAGCAGAGGTGGTGGTGAAGGCTTCTGAGAATTGTAGTCCAAGAACATCTGGAGGCTCAAGGTTGGAGGCCACTGATCTATAGGATCCCTTCCAGCTCTACAGTTCTAAGATGATGACAATGAAGAAGAAGAAGAAGACGACTCTCCCTTACTCTAGCATAAGCCTACAACAGGATTCTGGCCAGAGAGTTTTCTACCTCTCAAGTCCAGAGTCACAACCTCTTTGGTGTAATGTAGTCCACTTGAAACAACCCGTCAGTGGGTGTGCCATGCAGATTTTCTGTAATATTTCCCACATGTGTCCTTCATCTTGCAGAAAAGTACATTACATCATGCTTTGTCTTTGTATATATCTTAAGAATTGGCTTTAGCCCAACAGAGTATGAACCAAAATGTTTGCCGAATACTTCATGCAACCGAGATCAAAGGTAGTCCGATACATGACCTGCCGACAGATTTTCTGATTTCCAAATATTTTTGTTTTGTTTTGCCAAAAGGCTAATTGATTTCTTGTTGACAGAAGATATCCGTAACAATGCGTGTTTTGAGCAATCAGCTTGGAGCAACATTTCTGAACATTAACCAGATTCATGAACAACATTTCCAAACATTAACCAGATTCATCAACAACATTTCTGAACACTATTCAGATTCATGGAAAACATTTCATTTCATGAATGGTTCAACTGTTGGGTTCAGTTATGCAACACTTTTCCGTCTATGCCATGGCTCCCAACCTTGAGTCCTCCAGATGTTCTTGGACTAAAACTCCCAGAAGCCTTCCCCACTAGCTGGGTTGACCAGGATCTCCGGGAACTGTAGTTCAAGGACATCTAGAAACCCAATGTTGGGGACCGCTAGTCTATAATTCAGAGTCTAAATCTAATTTTGTGACAGACAAAGATTTTCTGCTATCAGTAGGTTTTTCCTTAGTGACTGGCTAATTTTTTAATGGAATCTTGTGCCTTGTTGCTTTTAAATGTATTTTTAGTATGATTTTATTTCCCCTCTAAAATATAATATTTATTGCATTTTAAATAGATATTTATATACTTACTGGATTTAGCTTTTAGATACTACCTTTTTAAGGATGTGAGCTGCCTCGGGTCCTTTTTAAGGAGAGAGGTAGGTTAAACACATCTAAATAAACAAATAGAGGTGCTCTTCCTTCCTTCCTTCCTTCCTTCCTTCCTTCCTTCCTTCCTTCCTTCCTTCCTTCCTTCCTTCCTTCCTTCCTTCCTTCCTTCCTTCCTTCCTTCCTTCCTTCCTTCCTTCCTTCCTTCCTTCCTTCCTTCCTTCCTTCCTTCCTTCCTTCCTTCCTTCCTTCCTTCCTTCCTTCCTTCCTTCCTCATTCCCTCCCTCCCTCCCTCCCTCACTCACTCACTCACAACTTTGTTGCATTGTGTATGGGTCATGTGCACCTTGAAGTCCCCTAAGGAAGTCTTCAATCAGTTGTGATTGCCACTGATGATGACATCACTTCTGTTGCTCACTCAGAGTTGTGCAACAGGATTTCAGCCTTTGTTATTTATATACATGTTTGCCAAGTCTCAGCATTTTCCCCCATTTTTCATTGCAAGTAAAGAATGCTTTCAGAAAAGACAACGAGATAATTACCTGCAGTCACACAACCGTGAGTGGTGCATATGTTCTCTAGGTTGCCACCGTACTGCGTGTCTGTAAGAACAATATAGACACATAAAACACCCATCGTTCAGACAGAGGATGCAAAATTTCCTGTACAAAGTTTAGAGAAGACCACGTGTCAGAGCTGAAACTATTCAGATTGCCCACATGGATGAGCCATATGGGTGTGTGTGTGTGTGCGTGCGTGTGTGTGAAGCCATGTGTGTGTGTGTCTGTCTGTCTGTCTGTCTCTCTCTCTGTGTATGTGTGTGTGTTGCTTCTTGGACTTCTGTGTTGTATTCCTTCAGTACAGTCAATATTCATCTCTGGCTGGTCTTTCTGAAAAGCTAGACTGAGGAAAGAAATGAGGTGTTCCATGGCAGTTTTGCTCCTCCCTGATAATCAGATTAAAAAAAAGTAGAGCTAAGTGGCCTTCTGATCTCCTTCCAAAGAATTTATCTCACAGGATTCTTGATTCTCTATGTCACCCAAGGATCTTTAATTTCATTAAGAAGCTTTTTGAAAAAGTTGTTCTGACATCTAATGTGAAATGTCAAAAGTAGACAGAAGACATTTACCCTCATCTGTGTTTCTCAGTGTCTCCATGAAGAATCAGTCTTATCTGTTGTATTCTTGGACCCAGAAACTTCCTTTATTGTATGACTTTGGAGTCACCTCCAAGAGACCCTCTTTGAATCTCCCTGCCTATTCTTTAATATTGGCTTGACTCTGAATTGTTATTGGACTTTGCTTTGGATATCTCTTTCTCTCTCTGGCTCTGTCCCTGATACGACTCTGCTTGTCTGACCACAGATTTGCCTGTTGACTCTGTTTCTGGACTCCCCCTACCTGGTCACATTGCTACACCTGCCCTAACTCATATTAGATATTGAGACTGCTGTGGGAGCCGCCTACCCAGGAACAGGACAGTCTCTTTGATTCTTCAGAGGACAATAATGTTGCACATACTTTGGGTGGAAAAGGTCCCAGGCATTCCATGTAGCTGGCAAACAATCCTACTGGAAAGCTTGGTGAGATACTGCCGGCCAAAGTCAACTCTATTGGGTTAGATACACCAAGATTCTGACTTCTTATGACAGGAGTGAAAAATATGAAATCTGTGTCCTCAAATAAACATTGGGGGAATGATGTGTCTAGAGGGACGATGAGAATCACATTACTTTTTCCTGACTCTCATAATGGAGCGAAGAACAAAAAGTTACCTATTCTATTTTTGTTGGGTTCTGAGATCGCTCGGCTTGGATGCCACATGGGCTCATTATTTAGAACAGATATAAAGACAGATCAGCCACAAGGACATCCAACCTCTGATAGGAGAGGAACAACAACAAGATGACAACAACAACAGCAGCAGCAGCAGCAGCAGCAGCAACAACAACAACAACAACAACAACACATACTGTGCTGATATTTACTTAGATTTTCGGTTAAAGCTTGTATCTCTTATATAATACCAATCAATGTTTTTATAATTTTGATTGACTGTGCCTAGGTGTTTTTCAATAAAAACAACAGCAGCAGCAACAATAGTAATGTGCTATCAAATAAATTCTGACTTTCAGCAACCCTTTTCAGGGTTTTCAGAGAATTCAGAAGTGGTTTCCCATTCCCTTCTTCTCAAACTGTGCAGCTTGCCCAAGGCTACACAGGATGGCCATACTCTTTGGAGGCACAGTGGAGAATCAAACGTCTGACTCTTGTCCTGGTGGTAGAGCTATCCATCTGAATTAAGGAGACAGCACCTAACAATCAAAGTTAGTTCTGTACACAGCACACAATGTATGTATGCATGTATGTATATAAAATGTTATTTAATGCTATGAGTTAATTGGAGTGTTGATCTCCTTTTTAGCAGTGGAGAAGTGTTTCAAAAGAATCCCTTCTTCCCTGAAAAGTTGAAGTTGGGTAGCCAAGTTCTCTTTCCATCTTTCAATCTCTCCATGTTCGCTCAGGGGCCAACCTATATGTAATTTTGCCCTTTTTCCAAAATGTTTCCAGCCGGTTCGTGGATGGAACTGGCTGCTGTATACATGGAAAGAATGATTCAGTGGTGACTGCTTTATGTCAGCTCGTCAGCTACGATCATCACGTCTCCGCAGACGTTATGGTCAACCGTTGAGAAATAAACACGGTTACATAAACAACAAACAACATGGAGATTTTTCCACATTGCCCCATTGATTTAAATTCTCCCCAGTGACAGAAAATTTGTCCCGTATCCAAGTAGTCCCATTTTACTTGATTGTTCTTTGATCTTCCTACTTGACTTGGAAGTCTATAGAGTGACTTCCAGATGGTCTAGCTAGACCCTTGTCCTGGTGGGGGACACCCTTCATCAGCCTCATCCCAGCAATCATCCTGCTCCTCTAGAATTTAACATGCCAAAACAGAAGCAATTGGCTGATCTTTCTTCCAACTTTCCGTAAAATATTAAGTTGTGGTGCTTCTACTAGTTTTGAATAAAATCTGAAATATAGTTATATGTTGCAACTAGAGTAGGCCCATTGAATTGATGGGGATTTGGTGAGTCAGCACCCAGCCACAGGTGATCTGTGGGAGTCAGAAATTCATGGAGAAATGCCCTTTTGCCTGAGATAAGATGATGTCTCTTCTTCTCCTGTTCCTGCTCCTGACTCACAAACCTGGAGCCACACTGGCTTGAGGTGGAGATACTTAGTGTGGACGTAAGAAGCAATTTGCAGAAGCTTCTCCATTTTTTTTGTGATGGTCACCACTTTGCTTCCTCACAGGACTCCAGGAGCATGCTAAGTTCAGGGCACTGTCAAGTGATACAGAATTTGTCTACCTTAGGCCAAAAGGAAGTGGTTTCAGTGTGCCTACGACAGCCGAGTCCCAACTAAACCCCAAGAAACAGGGGGTTGTCTTTCACTTGAAGAAATGGAGTGGGATAAATTGAAGGCAGTGGTCCCCAGATGTTCTTGGACTACAACTCCCAGAAGCCTTCATCACTGGCTCTGCTGGCCAAGAACATCTGGGGACCCAAGGTTGGTAACCACCGTTAATGCTTCCCATCGTTAGGTTCCCAGATGTTCTTGTACACAAACTTCCAGAAGCCTTTGCCACTAGCTGGGCTGGCCAGGATTTCTGGGAATTGTAGTACAAGAACATCTGGGACCCAAGGCTGGGAACTACTGAATTGCGGAATGCCTAGGGTGCAGGATGGTGCCTTCAAAGGAGGCGTTTGAACACAGCTTCAAAAATAAGTTCTTCAAAGCAGAAACCACTCCGCAAAGAATTTAGTGGCATCATGTCAAGCTTTTCGTTGACACATCAACAAAGCTTCTTTTTGTTAGGAGAGATGGACTTATGTCCCATTTGTAGCAGATGTGTTTTTGGCCCAAACTTTGACCCCCAAGTGGTTCTGGATGGTAAAATCTCATGACTTTTATGTGTTTTTTGTTTGTTTGTTAAAGATCTGTTCTTCTTCTTCACCCTTCATCAAGAATATGAACAATTGCCTAAGGCATAGTTGGAAGAAAAAGAAGGTGGGTGGATCGGTGGAAAAGTGTAGACGGGGAAGACAAAACCATAGACTGAAATAAGCCTTTCGAAGAGACAGTGGAAAGATTTCGTACAACCTTGCGGCGAATTCTCAAAAACGGTCCGAAGCCAATCAATTAAGAAAGGAGGACACTCCATCCCAACTTAGCAACGGCACCACCTCTTACAACAGAGAAAAAACAACAACACATATTGCTTAATGGATGGATGTCGAAAAGTATCTCCCACCGGGACAAGATTCTCTCTGTGCGTGCCTTGCACGCATGTGAATAGGTCTGTTCATTCTGAGCATGACAAATACTGGAGGCAAAAGGGTTAAGCACATCACCCTCCCACCCTGTTTCTATCTACTCAGTATTAAAGCCTGCAGCTGAACTTTATGAGCAATAAAAATAATGGTGATAATGAGTACAAACGCAGGATCATGCCTCATGTGCTTTGCCCCGAGGAGTCTGTTTGTAGGTTGGTTGGGTAGAAGATGTATTTTTTTTCCAAATTCCCTGATCCCTGTAAGCCTTCAAAAAGTGAAATCAAAGAGGTGGTTAAGCTAACTGATGTACTGATTCATTTTCTTATCTATAGAAAGCGAGTGTTCTGTGCTGTCTGTTCTGACTTCAAGCGCTAAGCCCTCCCCGAGGTCATCTCGGGATGCTGAATGTCTAGAGGTTCCTGAGACCTATCAAGACTTCCAGGAAAACTCCTCTGTCAATTAGCCCGATCCCCATATTAAAGACAGCTTAGCCCACCCGCCATAATCACGTCATGGAGCAGTGAGTTCCGCAGTTTATCTCTGTGACGAAATGCTTGTGTGTTTTGTTTCCTTGGCCCTGATTTCAGCTTCACTGGTTCCAGGGGGGAAAACACACACACACACCCCTTAATTTCTTCCCAAGACGTATGAGGTCGTAAACCTAGCAAAGATGGGCATTGAATTGGCAAGAGGATTCGCGACACTAAAAGTATGACTTAATTCTCTCTTTCTCTCCATGATTTCACTGGCAATAGGCAAAGAAGCTTTTTTTAAAAAACAAACAAACGGTGGATTAAATGAAGCCCTCTCCCGTCGCTCAGCTTGGTGTGGGCGTTCTTTTAAAACTCTCTCATTCCCTAACAGCCTGTGTTGCATTTTCTCAGTGGCCTCTCTGCTCTTCTGCAGCAGGTTTTTGTGGATCTAAGACGGGATAAATTCTAATAAGGAA